TAATTTTCAACTTTCAATGAGTTGACGATTATTTTCTCCAGGCTTCGTCGAGCTGTAATTGCACCGGTATTGCTTCTTTCTGTTTCATTACGTGCGCGCGCGCGCGCGAGAGAGAGAGAGAGAGCAGCTTGCCTAGTTTTTTTTCGCGAGCGCGCGCAAGTCTCATAAATAAAAGGCAGCGTCACGTGAGAGCGAGAGAGAGAGAGAGAAAGAGAGATACCGTTGCCCCAGGGACGCGTCTGCATGTCCCTCGGCTAGCGGACACCTGTTAGTCCTTCGCGGGTATAACGCGGTAATCTTTACGATTAATAACGAGCTGATTCCGATGATTAAGATTCTTTGATTTACGCAGCCGGGAGGACGTGCGTGCGCGTGCACGCGTCGGCTTTGGTTCGTCGTTTTTCTCGGCCTCGTCGACGTTGCTCGTGTGCATCCGACAGCGCGTACTAAAGCGAGGGAGAGAGAGAGAGAGAGGGAAGTCGAAGCCTCAGTGACGGAGGCAATGGAAAGGAAATTGCTTTCCTTTCCGCTGGCAAAGGCTCGGAGCAAAGGAATGAAAAGAAAGACGAGACCGAATAAACAGGACTTGGCTCTTAATCACGACTAATTGAACTGATAACGAAAACTGGGCTTGCGCTTGCGTGCAACATTGACAATGCAACGATTGATGACGTTGTCCCCCATACGGCGAAAAGTGCGCCTAACTGTTATCTCTGCCGAGGCGAGAAAGTAAGAAAATGAAAGAAGCACACCTAACTATTAGCGCATATGTGTACGTAACTCGCATCGCTGTCGCTCTAGTATCTATATCTTCTGCTCATAACAGACTTTTTCACATATTGGCCGCAACGGAAGCGTGTGCTCGTGTGAATGTGTGCGCGTGCGCGCGTATAGTACGTGTACTCTTTTTCTCTCTTACATAACCCACTGAAAAGGAAAGGGAAAAAAGACTAACTCTGCATCTACAGCCACACGGCCGAGCTGTGCTGCACGTGAACACATCACGGAAGAGAGCCGTATTATTAATGACGAGGTGGCGCCACCTTCGGTCGATCGCAGTGGAAAGCAAGACAAGGAAAAAGGAAAAAGAGAAATGGGAAGAGGAGCAGGGCGCGTCAAAGGGGACGTCGCCGCCGTCTCTCTGTGCTGCCCCGTGGAGCGTGAATTTTCACGCAAAGCGCAAGCTCCAGGGCGCGGGGCGCGATAATGCTCGAGAGAGGAAAGTCGACACTTTAAGCGGCAGCTTATAAGCGCAAAATCCTTTCACGGCTGAGTCGCCTCGCCTCCTCTCTGCGTGCTCCAACTGCGTCACAGTCACTTACACCCACGCGCGCGCAAGCCTTCGTGGCGAAGGTATTACGCGCGTACAAGTGAGTGCCTTGCGGAATATTAGTCAGTGGCGCTGCATCGATGGCGCACAAGGGCGCCGCTTCTCGTGCCTTTCTGCGGGCTTCCCAAAGCGGGGCTTTTTGTTTTTATTCCACTTGCGGATCGCTGCGCTGATGAATGTCGTCACCGGTACTACCAGCATTTAACCCTTAACAGGCGTTGCTTTTTATTCACCTGCGCGTCTCTGTGCTCTTTCACGTGCAACTTTGGCAACTCGTTGAGCCTCTAATGTCGTCGAGCGAAACGAAAAATAAAATAGCGAACGGACTCCGAGTGGATTAGTTTCTCAAGTTTGAAGCTTCGATTAGCTTACTTTTCATGAATTTTCAAGAAGTTGTTGTCGTGTTAGACGCTGCAAGCAACAGTTGAAATTTCTTTCGATCATCCTTTGTCAAACTTAGAAGAGTAGTCGATAGACCTAAAAAATATTCAAGATTTTAATGCAGTCGGCGTACGTCCATCCAGAAAAAGCGGAGTGTAAATGATATTCTCGTGCTGTAACCGGAACGCTTGATAAGTTCAGGCAACACGAAAGCACACGACTCGAGATTGTTGAACCCGAAAGAAAGCGAAATTTCGAGAAACGACATCGAGATAAAGGTTGGAAGTTGGGAAAATTTTCTGTGTATCGTCTGCTCTTATCTATCGGTATCAAGTCCGTCGCTTTGAAGGCAATTCACGCACGCTTACACTCGTCGAAAATCTTATCGGCTCATTCCACATCCATTCGCAGCCTGGGAAGCAGGCCCGAAGCGAGCCGACGGTACGCAAGACGCAACGCACGCGTGGCGAAAGGGCTTATCACCGGCGAGACTGTAACTCGATTAACGCGACTTTCCGATCGGCCTAACACTTGTACAAATTGCGAAAAAGGTGGCATTAAGGCCTAGGTGGAGTTTTGCTTTGATTCTCTCGGCTGAAGCACGCCTGACATTAACCTCTCACTTATCGATCTTCTCACCACCTTCTCACTGTAATTTTCAACTTAACCACGGCGAATCACATCTTTTCCAGTCTCACTCTCTTTCTCTCTGCGCGCGAATCTCTGGAAGCGCGTCACGATGATGATAAACAAATGAGCAAAAGCTAAGCACACCTGCCGCAGAAGTCGAGCCCGCGACCGGATCGAAGGGGCGAGCAGCGACTCGGGGAGCGTCTGCCGCGCAATGAGAATCCGTGTCCGTGATCGCGGGCTCGGCTTCGCGGCGGCAAAGAAAAAAAAAACAAACAAACAAACAAAAGCCTGACTAAAGTAAGGAACAGGGCGATCGCGAGTGGAGAAAGGAAAAAATGATTGAGTGACTTGTCTTGTGTTGATGTTGCAGGTTCAAGAGCCTGGCACATGCGGCTGACCTTTGACCGGGTGCCAGGCGGCTGCAACCGACACAGGTGCAAGCTGTGCGGCAAGGTCGTGACGCACATTAGGAACCACTACCACGTCCACTTCCCCGGCAGGTTTGAGTGTCCTCTCTGTCGTGCGATCTACACGCGCAGCGACAATCTGCACACCCACTTTAAATTCAAACATCCCGAGTCAAGAAAGATTGATCTTAACGATTACATGGCCCGCTCGCTGGCGCTGACCGCGTCGAGTAACGACACCACGAACACGCTCTCCTAAGGCCGCCGTCGCCACGGTCGCCTCCTACGTTGTTGCCTACGCCGTCGCCTCCAGCCACTGCTAGTGTTGTTAGCCGCCGCCACCAGCGCCGCGTCACGCTAGGCCTCACCGTCACACCCGACACCCCCACACACACAGACATGGGAGAATCGCTTGTGTATGTGTGCGTGCATGAATGAGTCCTCGGCGGCGACGACCACCACGACCACGACCACGACCACGACCACGACCACGACCACAACCACGACCACGACTACGACCACGACCACGATCGCGACCATGACGACGATCGCGATGGCCGATCATTGCCAGCCCCGTCGGCGCGATTGCACCAGTCCAGCGGCTCGGTGACGCGCCGAGCGTCATTATGTGATATATATATTTTATAGAAGATGTGACGCGTCGATCGCCAAACCTCTGTACAAAACCAGTCTCATCTTCGTCGTCCTCCACACGCCCGCACGCTCAGCTTCGTCATTGCGTAACTATGGATTGTCGTCGCCGTCGTGGTCGTCGGTCGTCGGTCGTCGGTCGTCGGTCGTCGTCGTCGTCGTCGTGCCGAAGACGAGTCACCGTTGAAGATCGAAAGGGAGGGAGAGAGTGAGAGAGAGAAAAAGATTCGAAGCGAGAAGACTATGATGCTGACGACGACGCCTGGCGGGCTCGCGATTAGTCATTAACGGTTAGACTGCGTTTCATTTGTCACTAGTGTTGCGATCGGTTCAGAGTCCATGTAAATAACGACGCGGCGGCGCTGGGGGTTGCGCGCCACGCGGCAGCCGTCTGTGCGTAGGGGGCGTTGCGCCAGGCGCACGCGCCCTTTTGTAATTAAAGCGAGACGTACAAGCAAGCGCGAAAATTTGGGAGCAAACGCGGTGCCAATTCCTCCCCGTAGTTGATGTTCTATTAAGTAATGTAAGTCGACTAAGAGAACGAGGACGAGAAAACAATTGGGACTTTTAGAAGGGAGAACATAACGATAACGATGATTACAATGAGTGACGATAAACATTGAAAAGAATTATTATTATTATATACATTGTAATTATACATGAAACGGTGATTCGGCGGTCGCCGTGGCCGAAAATATAAAACACTAATTAATTATTAACAATCTTAAGCATAAGCCGAAGTAATTTTGATTCTACATGCAGGGTGAGTTGAGTATATAGTTGTTGAACAGTTTTTTTATAGTTGGACTTCATATTAGATAACTGGCGGAAGAGTACGGTCAGGTTTCACTAGCGAGTCGCCAATGGCAATACACGGATACCGATATGCGATTGATCAAGCGCTCACGGCAAGTGTAAATATTTTAATAAGCAAAGGGTCGACCTACACAGAACGCGCTTCTCGTAAGAGCGACGGGGGACTGTAAGCGCGAGAGTAATCAATATTCTAGCTGTTACTGACTTTCGATCGACAACGAATCAAATCTTTGTCCTATGCATCGCGTCCTCGCGTCCCTTCGTTTCAACTTGGCTTTCTGTTACAGGAGGCAGCAATAGGCACGCAGCTCTAATATGAATTTTGACTATAAAACTTACGGTACTTGTTACAAAGTCTATAATTTTTAATCTGCACTCCGCAAATGATAATGCAGCAAACAGTGGAAATCACGAGAGACATTCCACGATCGGGACTTAAGTGCATAGGCAACAGATTATAAGAATTTATCGTGTATTGGATGATTTATAGTACTATATTTTATACTTTATATAATCTACCCTTATTAATATATTGGTTTCATTTCAGATAGTTACGTTATTAAAAAACGATTACGACTTTTATCCAAGGGGGTGGTTAACTGATAGTCACTACACGTCGTTGCACGTTGATGTCATTCTTTTTCTTTTTTTTTTTTTTTCTTTTTTTCCATTATTGTTCAGCTATCATCGGTTGAGGTGCAATCCGTTGTTTTTGTTTTTATATATTATTTCTCTTTTAATAATAGTCACGCACGATCGCCTTACGACTCGTTTGGTTGTAGCATTCAGTGCGATTCAACATCTTCGAGTGCCAGGGCCGCACGGACCGATGAAAAGCTTCTTCAGCCTTCTGCTCGAACGCATTGGATTTTATCATTTGCTCGCGACGACCTTGTGGATTATTCCGATTAGGCGATTGGACCCTCGTCACTAAATCATTCCCGATTGTTGTGCGGAAATCATAATTGTCGAACCAAGCGTCTCGAGCAAACGAATCGGTTGAAAACGATCAAATTCGTATTGTTACACTTGAGCATGCCCTACAACTAAGAGGATCGAGGAACGTCGCCTAGATTGCGAGAGGGAGGATATCGATGAGCTAGCTATCTTTTTACTTGTGTACCCAAACAAAGCACACATATACCGAAATAATTTAAAGTAATATATAGTATAGTATATTATTAACCGTAACCAGATTTTATTAATATATTACGCAGAATCTTATTCACTGAGGTATATATAATAATATATATATTGGATATAATTTATTTTATTTTTTTTGTTTTACCGTTTTAATGATTTTATATACACTGTTGTTACTGGTTGACGAGAATTATAATGAAAGATGCAATTATAATAGCACAGCGGTTTCCGTCTGTGACCGCACGGATTTATTTATTTTTACACTTGCATATAATATATAAGCAGGGAAATGTACACGGGGCAAACCAAACACACGCTCACACACAGAGACGCAGATGCAAGTGAATTGTAACGCGGCATACGAGTCGGAGAATGCACACCGTGCGTAGGCCTACCCCCTGGCTTAACCTGCCTTCTCGTTTTTTTTTCTGCATTGTATTTCTCGTGAAAAAATTATCTTCTCGTTCAGCGCCTATTCGTTTGGGAATGCGGGGAACAAAAGTGACAAGGTCGTAGGCATTATTTTAGACGCTCATCGCTTACCAAATATGTGCAGTATGCCGAGTGTTTTTCGAAAGGTCCGAATAGAAATCGTACTGCGGCCCTTACGATCTTTCTTTCTTGTTGTATATGTTTATTATCGTAGCTTACTATATGAATATTGTCGTGCCGATGACGAGTCGCTGAGCGATTCAAACGAGTTTGCGATACGTCAAACGTTCGCTCGTTTACTTAAACACAAAATGGAATGATTTATTTATTGTGATCGAGGCGATTGTGCATTTGTAAGGGCAGCAGTACTTGTGCAATTGCGTTTCCACCAAGCGACCATGTTTTCTTATGATTTTTATTATGATGATTATTATTGTTACGATTTTTTATGCATGTAAGCGCACAACTGAAAAGCTGCGAGCAACAATAAAGGATTTCCTTTTGTTCACTTGGTTTCATGTAATTTTTATTCAATTTCTTTCCATTGTGTTTTGTATTGATTATTATGTATGCCGCCGTACACAAAGCACGCTTTCTTATCCCCCCATTGCCTGCATGTGATATACAATATGTGCGACTATGTCTATAACTTCCTTTTCTTTTCAGAAGTTTTGTCACTATATATTCTTTTAGGCGATTGTAGCGAGAGCCTTGTGTCAGTTTGTCTTACACTTTTATTGTTCATCTTCTTTTTTTTCTGCTAATTTTAGTTTGTAAGTTGGGCTTGCGGAATCAGGTGGAAACGTGTCGAGTATGAATTTTATTTATTATATACTTTTGTTTCACTACGTTTTGTCCTTAGATTAAATATTTGCGGTGCGTCTGAAGTCATTAGATGTAGCGACTACTTGCCAAATGTTCAATTGTTAATTAACGTTCACAAACAATTTATCGCGAATTCTATGACAATCAAGTGTGCTGGATCTTGTTGTTGGCACGTCAACTTTGAGCCAAATGGCGAGATCAACTTTGAATGCTTTGTTTCGACGGTACTTTGAATGTGAGCTCGAAACACGTTGAAGTCTCTGTCGTCATTAAAATCCCGAAACAGGTGTTTGTATTTCATGACTTGCGACGTGTCGAAGCACAACAAGCTCTTTTCAAAAGCTTGAAGGAGCATTGAAAGTTTAGTTCTCGAGTTTGACCGAAAGTTGACGCCCGAACAAGGCCCAAGTAACGCATCACAATTGTAAATTATAATTGAAAGTTTCTGTCGAAATCAGTAATGAAAATAAGGGAGAATGTACTTTAATATAGGCGTGTTGAATTAGACCAAAATCCAATGAAAACTCAAGCGGAAATCGGATTCTAGTGGCTTTGGACGCGTATGTGAACGAGCGAGAGAGGTCCGTGTCCCGAGTTCTCTCGCAGCGGGCGAAAAAATGTACGAAAGCGCGCGCCCGCAAGGCTAAAGCGACGAAATACTCGGCAACCGAACTTTACTCAGACGAAAACGAACGGAAAGAAATTCGCGCAGCCGCTTTCTTTGGCAAGCGAAAGGACAGACACGTGAATCATTATGAAATTACCTATCACTACCACTATTACGTAACTATGATACTACTACTGCTACTACTACTATGAGTACTACAACTACTACCGCTACTATTACTAAACCAGAAAAAAAACTTATTACTACTACTATTAATTATAGGTATTTATATATTTACAATTGCGTGGTGTGGAGTGGAACATTGTGATATAATAGATTGGTGCTAACACCTTATTGAAATTGAAGATACATTTAAATTAACGAATAGATATGAGAATTTGAAGAGGAAACGAAATGGAATTTGAAAAACGTGCAATATCGCGTGGGAAGAAGGTTCTCATGCAAGCGGGATGGAAGCAAAGACACACGGACACACGTACAGGCACAACACGGACACGCGGTGAAAGAGATGAGGCAGTTGGGACAGTCGAGGAGAACAGCTTGATTTTCACTTTCTTTCCCCGATTTGGCTTTTGGCAATCGAACTGCCGCGATTATCCGGTTTAACGATCATTGTTCTGTCGTCGTCGAAACGCAATTATACACGCTGTGACTGCTATGCCAAACTTTGTGTAGTTGGAGATGTCAGGCCGCGAGAGAAAGAGACCGTTTCAGTTGTCAAGAGATAAAGGCAGAGTGATATATACGATATATTATTATAACGGAGTAGGTGCGAATTTATTATTTTATAATGAACTAATTCTGTATTTTACTGTTGATTAACCTGCAAAATGTTTTTTTCTTGTAAAATAAAATTTATATTGAAAAACCAGCGCTCTTTCATTCTGTCCGAGCAGCTTTAACCAAGCTCAACGCATAATATCATTCTACTTTGCAATTACGCGCCAGCGAGAGCATTTCTTTGCCAAGTGCGAGTCGGAGCGGCGAGGGCGACCGCTCGGTAAACAAATGAATAAAATAGCGAAAATTAGAGCGGACGAGAGCTGAACTCGCGGGGAAGCTTGAGCTCAAGCTCTCTAAACGGCTAAAGCGAGCGGACTTCAACTTTAGCCTGCGAATGTTGTACAATGCGCTAGCTCTCAAATCACTTTGAATTTGCGTTGAGATTGAGGCTTACGAAAAAGCAAACCTCGGAGTCCTACCGGATGCAGAGCGCAATTGAACTCCGACTTTTTATCTTTTGGTGCTCTGCTTTATCGCTTCGTTGTTTTACGGCCTCGCGATCGGGTCGCACAGTCCGAGAAATCTTGACCAGTGCAAGACCGAATGGGTCTTGCTTTTCTTTTTATCAAAAACAGTATTGTCGATCTTCCATATTTTCAATGTTTCTCGAAATGTAAAGATCCTAATGGGCGATAGCGTCTCAGTTCGGACCGAGTGGCAATTCGATGCAACGTTTCGTCACCTCGCGTGTACATATACCGTAATTGTAATAAAATAAGACGATTTGTCTTTTTCATTGTTCGCAATGAGCGCAAGTCATTCAATGACCACGGATGAATTTTATCGTGCGATTCTCGCGCAAGCTCAATGAGCTCCCATCGATGTTGGCCAATTCGAATTCGCGACATCGAGGATGAAACGTATTGCGACCGGGAATGGAGGATTGCAACTTTTTTTTCCATTTCTCGGCAGAATCAGACTGATGTTGTAATTAATAAAGCAAACGTGGCGCGGCAAGCGAAAGGACGGTGGGCCGAGGAATGCAGTGCAAACGAAACGGACGAAAGCAGAAGGCAGAAGGGAGGTAAAAGGGTGTGCGAGACGATTAACTGGTGACCTCTTTTGTCCTAATTCCAATTCGCACTGTTTAGTCCTGGCGATCGTCTGTTTTTTCCTCCTTCTTTAGTTCTTCACGAGCTACTACCCTTTCGTCACGGGCTCTTCTACGGATACAAACACTTACGCACACGCACACACACGCACGGACGTGCACGCGAAAGTAACGAGTTGGACGCTGCAAGCTATACGATCTCTGGTTGCAGTCGCGATAGGCGTAAAAACCTAACTGGAATGATTCGCCACTTGTGTGTCTCGGATTCCAGTCTTCTTCGATACCAAATATCACCTACACTTGTGTGGCTTCCCGTTCCAGTTAAGTTATCGAAATATCCGCCACGCGGTGAGTCCTCGGATATCGGCAAGAGATTTTACGAAACTCCTCTGCTCTGCCAACGGAAAAATCTGCCGATGCAGTGTTCATTTCAGCTGACAGCGTTCAAATTGAGATCTATAATTACATGTTAAATTTCGTTGGTCGCCGCGCAAAACGAAGACATTTACGAGCGGATCAGGTACCAAAGACACGTGTAAAAATAAAACAGAAGGGCGTGGTACGGTATAAAGATGAATGATCGAGAAACAAATCGATTGTCGTTAACAGCGCAGTGTTCGTCTTTCCATCAGCGTCGTCACCTCGACTCTTTGACAAAGGGCTCTTGATTTTGCAAGCAGTCGACATTGAAAGTACATGTACATAAAAATGAGAGAGTGAGAGAGAGAGAGAGAGAGAGAGAGAGAGAGAGAGAGAGAGAGAGAGAGAGAGTGAAGACCCGCGTGCGCCTCCACAAGCACAAATTTCCGCAGATTATCGAGCAATTCACACGTATATATTTTAACAGCAAGCTATAGTTGGACCTAATCAACAAATGAAGATTTTTGAATTGTCTTGGCTTTTATATTTTTAATGCGAATTTTCTACGCAAATCATCCTCCATATGAAGATTTTGAAATTTGTCCGAGCATGCGATTCTCAAATTTTACTATAAAGATGTAACAGTGGCTGACGGTGAGTGGCCAAATTACTAATATGTGCATTCGATGTATTTCGTACTAAGTTTTTGGATTAAACATAACTAAATGTTAAACGAACAGCATTCCATTCTTTTATCCAAATCACACTTCATCAAGCTCCGATTGAATTTTTCTATGCATGCTTACCTGTCATTCTCTCGATCATCTGCCATTCTACCTTGAATCTAGAAGCACGCTCAGCCTCGTTATTCATTCAGAGAAGACCAATACCTCTTGTTTTATTTCGTTTAACGCAGTGGAACTAATGAACGACCGGACAAAAACAGGGGGTGGGGGAGATAGCACAAGAATGCGAAGAACGAAAAGAGAGAGAGAGAGAGAGAGAGAGAGAGAGAGATAAAAGAGAAGTCAGCACAGAGAGGGAGTGTGTTATCCGCAGCGCGCAATCAGGGGTCTCGCGAATAAAAAATGGTCATAGCAACAAGTGGTTTCCTTTTCCAGACGTACACGAGCAAAAGCGCCAGATCGATTGACCGACGCGTCACGCTACGTGTTTATTTGTAGTCGCTCGCGCATTGCTCGGCGTATGCCGCACGATTTGTTACTTCCGTTTTGTGAAAGGAACAAAAGAACCACCGTCGCCGTCGTCGATAGACCCTTTGAGACATAGAATCGATAGACGGACTGTAAAAACCATTGAACGGGTGGATGGGACTTTTACAGCCTAGTAGTAATGGAGAGAGAGAGAGAGAGAGAGAGAGAGAGAGAGAGAATGTGATCAGCTTGTCGTAAGACTACTTCATGGTGATCGGATCGGCATCAGGACATTTTCTTCGCAAAAGCCTTTTCAGTTCGTCTCATATGATCATTTCGCGGTTGCTCCTGTCTTTCGATCAAATTCAACGTATCGCAATGTTGCCATTTGAAAATCGAAAAAACTCTCGGTTTTGATGGATTTGGTAGTGATTCGATCGTTCACTTAGAGCCGCATCGCGCTCAGCAGCGGCGCTAGTGGGCGAGAAAATTCCGGACGAGCCGATAGCTGGAATCCAGAGTAATAAACCAGCTGCATAGCCAATAGGGAACGCTGGGTCTCGAGTGCGTATGTGTGTGCAATGTGCATTCTATCGATAATGTAATCGCGAGCATAGCTCCGGCATCCCCATCAGCGGAAGGGAATGCAACGTGCCTTTAGAGACTGAGCGATCCACCTGGTGATTGGTTTTATTCAAACGAACGCTTTAGAAACCTTAGCGATTGGTACTGGCATAATTACATGTGGTGTGCATGCGTCATCTGTCTTGCGAGAGCCCATCAGTTGAAAGAACAAGGAAAACATATTTCCGTCATTTGTTTTTCAGAAGGATCTTGCACATTGTCGTACCGTCACTAGACCAATTCATAGCCTATATACACGTATTGCTAACCGCAAATCATGGAAAATGCATTTGGCAAGCGCGGCTGCGGCGCTCGCGAAGATGACGCGCGGGTTGCGTCAAGCACGCAACGTCCGAAGCGAAATTTTCGAAAAGCGAACAAACAAACCAAACATCGATCCGAGAACAAGCTAGAAAGTGCTGACTGTGAACGTTTCTGTTGTTGCAGAGTTGAAAAATTGGCGGATATCACAGATATTTGAGAGACAGAGTAACACGGACGAGAGGAGACGGTGTTCGTTGTGCGGTAAGGTCGTAACCAATGTGCGCAATCACTATTACGTGCACTTCCCCGGGAAGTACGCCTGTCCGCTGTGCCCGGCCGTGTACACGCGCAGCGACACGCTGCTCACGCACACGCGCACGAAGCACGTGAACGTCCAGTGATTCGCCATTTTGTCACGCGTCGTGCACACGCTCATCGAAATGGCCGGCGGCGGTCAGACCTGGTCGTCACTCTGTTTACTTCCTCAAGAGGATTCCATTTCTTCTGCTTTCTCCTTACTTTTCCTGTTTTTGTATCGCTATCGCGGTATATGTTATTTAGTTCTGTTTTGTTGATTTATGTTTATTACTATGCTAGTAAAGTTTATACTATGTTTTAAGCTCCAAGATTTTAAATTAGAGATAATACTTACTTTATTAATACTGAAAATTAGTCGTGATAATATGTCCGGTAAATGTTGATTCTTTCATGGAAATGTCAGATAAACTTACTTTCATTATGTTATAAACTTTTATTGTTTTAGCATGAAAGAATTTTTCTCCTCAAATGTTTTCTGTTTATCAATGACTTTCAGACAGAGCATATCTTTATACGTAATATATTAACTACCTGGAAAGTTCATGTAACAACGTTATTTACTTATTATTTAGTTATTCTTCTTCTATTATTTTTATTATATGTTCATACATCAAGTAAATTCAGTGACGACTAGTGAATATTTTGTAAATTTTCTGCAAATATTTGTACTGTAAATTCCATTGTAAATTACTATTGTAAGCAAGTCAGTTAATGTTATTTATGGTCGAGTCACTTGCTCATAAACTCAACTTAATACTTCGGACACCGTCTGCTTCGATTGTTCTGTACATATAATATCTTTAATCATTATAATTACTTGATGTGTTCAGTAGTCAAATTTAAGCGTATGAAGATTCAATCGACAAACCATCTTAATCGAGTATATCAGGGTATCAAACTACATGAAAGTAGATTCATATTATGTTATTTTATCAGAAAACAATTTGATTTTATTAATTATATTTTTAGTATTAAAAACAATGAAATTTGATGAGTAAAAAGTATTAGTTTATGTAAGACAAACAAATTTAATAACGATTAAAATAGCTTCATTCTTTAGGAATTTTCGAAAGCTTATTCCTATTGAAAATAATTACAACGGCGTAATATTTAAAATATATTCCTCGTGTGTCGAATGAAGTGATCGAAAACATAAAATTTCATCATTTTTTTAGAAAATAATCGTCAATAGTTTAAGAACAAATAAGGTTAAGTGGTTTTTCAGAAAAAAAATATATTATAAAAGTACTATAGTTTGATAAATTATACAATCCAAAGAATATGTAATTTTTAATATTTTCATTTTCTGTCTATTAAATAGTAGCAATCGGTAAACAATTCTTTTAAAAAACATTCAAAATTGCTGTCGTATTGAACATTCCCATTGTAAATTTGGACTTTTTATACAGAAACATTCCATTGTTTAATTTACAAAAGTGAGGCCTGCAATGGCTGGGTCGGTAGGGCGACGGACTCGCACCCGGTAGGCCTGGGTTCGATTCCCCAGTCCCTGCTGATTGATACAAGCTCCACTGAAAAAAGTTTCATGTGCTTTGTTCCCAAACACATTGCAAGCCTCCGTCGCTGATTAGCACTGATGGGCATAAATAGAGCGACGTTAAATAAAAAAAAAAAAAAAAAATTTACAAAAGTAACATTTCATTAAGCTAGTCTGAAAAAATAATTTATAATTCGATATATCTAATTGTCAGGTATTACTGCGATGTTCCTCTAAGCAAATTAAATTTATTTTGAAATATTTATTACATAATTAATTTTATGTATGACACGAAGGAAAGGACCACGATTTAAAACTTTTTCAAGCGTCGAGCTCTGAAACATACGTAGGTTCAAATGAACCAAGTGAAAAAGTTATACTTGAAGATTGACTGCTCGGTACAAAATACGGTTATTGGTTACAAAATCCTGGTTACGTCTACAGGTTTGTGAGCATTGTAATTGCAAATGTAAGCTACGAATAATAAACATGAATGGTTTTGTTTTTTGAAATCAAAAAGAAAGCTCTTTCTTGCAGCTTATTTTAGCTAGCGTCAACCTGCCTTTTTGTCGTAAGTTCTGGTACGTCTGCTCGAACGTGGGATGCCTAGACTGGGCGCGACGTGTCTGCGGCCTGGCACTTAGTGGCCCTCGCATAGCCGTCAAGCGGCACTCGCATAGCGCGGCATGCGGTTAGCGCTGCAGATGCTGCAGCCGTACGTTTTTAAGCTCCGCTGCGCGGCTTTACCGACGATCGATAAGTCGCAGCCGAGTTTCTCTCCGCTGCCCTTCCGAGTCGCTCGCCCTCGTGCTGATCAAACGCCTGCGGACCACTTTGCTACTGTACTCGTTTGGCCGCAGAGGCAATGAAATTCCACGTAAAACTGGGCAGAAGGGATGCACGCTTGCTATCTCGATCACAGTAGTGAAATGTCAAGGTGACCGGACAATTGCGATCTTTCGCTTTGGACGGCTAATAAAGAACACGTCCGAACTGCTGTCACCTCGACTATCAATAGCAGGCGGCATAGCCCTTGATAAACAGTGGCAGTGGATTGAATTTAGTCCGTTCGACAGTGCCAAAACACAGACAGGACATTTCGTGCTCTCTTTTTAGTCGCGTGTCCAATGCTAGTAGTAGCTGCGCGGCCTCGTCACTCCTCGTCGATAAACGTCTCACCCTATCCATCTCTCAATCAGACCCTTTCACCGCAGAGCGCTTGATATCGAGTATCGACGTTCTGTCATTGCACCAGCCAACCCTGCGCTGCGCGCTAACTTCTCTCTGTCTGCCTGTCTGTCTCTCTCTCTTCCCCCCTCGTCGGCTCCGCGCGCATTTTAACTGGTGCAGCCAAGTTTCGCCAGGCCTTTCAAATGGAAAGGATGCCTTTGCTTTGAGAGCGCGTGCATGCGGACAAATTGAAAAACTGATTGCTCGCGATACCGATAATTGAGCATTGAGTGGTTTGAGCGGGAGTCAGCGCGAAAGCGGACGCTTGTATTTCGAGTCCGTCGGAGCAACGCCGCGACAGTGGGAAGGCTCGGCCGACGCTCTATGGTCCGTCGAGGCTGGGCTGGATGGGATACCGCGGAGAACGGCAACCGCGCAGACCGCCGGTGGGGGGAGGCGTGACTCGATCGCTCTCCGGCTGGACGCGAGCAACGGCCGTCCCTTTAGAAAGCGCGCGCCCACCAGGATAACAGCGCAGCAAGCACGCCGACGCTCGCTTTGCACGGCCGTGGAAAGCGATCGGTCGAGTACCCTACGGAGCCAGCTCCTGCTCGTTCCCGCTGTCCGTCGCGGCTCTTGTGCTGACCGGCGACGCCGCCGCCGTCGTCGTCGTCGTCGTCGTCGTCGTCGTCGTCGTCGTCGTCGTCGTCGTCGTCGTCGTTGCCGTTGCCGTTGCGAGCCGTAGAGCTAAGCCGCGAGCGCGCCTCAAGCAAAGTTCTGATTGTTACGTTGTGCTGTTGGATTTGTGTCGCAGGTACGATGCCGAGCGTACCGGTGGATCTGTCGTACCAACAGACATTCGCCAAGTTGTCCGACAGCTCGAAGTCGTGGAGGTGTCTGATCTGCGGCAAGCAAGTCAACAACCGCTGGCACCACTTTCAGGTCCACTCGGGGCGGCGCTGGAAGTGCCCCTCTTGCCCCGTCAGCTACAGCCGCACCGACTCGCTGCGCACGCACATCCACTCTAAGCACTGGGAGCCGCCTGTTCGCCAAGGGCGCCTTATAGGCCACGGGGTTCTCGGGCAAGAGGCGCAGGTGCATGCAGATGGCCATCTAGACTCCCCGGCCCGAGACGAGTCCCTGATCGGGCACTGGCCCGGCCTGTCCCTCGGCGCCATCTCGCACGCGCGCACCTCGCTCTCGCTATCAGCCGGAGCCTCCCGAAGGAGCCGCACCGCGCGGCTTGAGCCTTGACGCCTGATCGCCGCTCGCTCGCGACGAGAATCACCACGCTCCACGGCGGCTCGACGTCCCGATTTCCGAGGCGATCCTCTTTACCCTTTCGACTCTTGCACGTAGTAGCTTTCCCGCCGAACGCTCGGACGGCTCTCGCAAACGCTCTTAGCTAATTGATAGACTGAAGCGAGCGCTGTGATTCCATCGGAACACCGTACGTCGATGGTACTGTTGCAAACGTTTCACGCTTTCGCCATGTTTTCCCCGTTGCGTCAGGCTGCGCGCACGTGCCATTTCTAGTTTTAGGACGGTCTAAGCGGCATACTTATCGGCTACACAAGCCTACGTTACCATTGCCAAAAAAAAAAGAAGAACGCTCGCTACTTTACCGACTAACCAATATCCGGCTGCCGGTAATTTTTCATTCGCACCGTAAAAGCTATGACGACGCTCGAATTTCGTTGTAGCCTCCATCGAAGAGGCCATCGTTAGAACGCGCGAAAATTCATGCGAGTACTCGAATTTTTCTGTTACGCCGCGATTTTTAAGTCAAGTATTATTGTGGATGCGTTTTCGCAAAAGTCACTTGATTTCACTTGTGCATCGTTTTACTTGATGACTCGCCATTATTGACTAAATATTGTGAAAAGCCATTTGCTGGCAGCATTGAAAATGCATGCTGTCTTTCGATCGTAGAATGAATTTCAATTGTATGGAAAATTTTTACAATCAATTTTGTTGACGTGATCCGCTGTAGCCACGTAATGTCGGTGGGTGATGATATTTGTCTTGAGGAATAATGAATAATACTCGAAATTGCCATAATGCTGCATCGTGTGGTCGGTAAAATCAAACTTTTTAGACTGATTCGTGCGTTTACATTTCATTTGCCTTGCACTTAATCCGCTGTAAGCTAGATACACGTTAATGTAATTATAAACTCAGTAGTATAGCATAAATACCATATAAAGTAAGTAATATAGCTATTATGAAATTCTAGAAGATGAAAACAGCTGCTGCTCCCAGTGGGCCAAGCACAAAGCTGACACCGCTGGGAAATATTCATTTAAACAGGATTACAAAAGCAGCGCGAGCCCGTTTATTTTTATTTGGACCAACGATAATTGTCGTCGCGAGTAAGCAAACGCTATGAAAAACAAAGGTCACAGGGAACGAATAACTTGAGATGTAGTAATAAATGTCGAGGCTCGTTCGAGGGTCGATGAACGACGCGCACAGCTCGCCGAATGCGCGTTTCTTTATATAAATGTGGGGTTCCTATATAAGTACCGGCGCGAATGGCGATCGCGCGCGCGCGAGAACGAGCGCGTCTATCGGTTTGTAAATACACGAGGAAAAACGCTTCTCTTGCTCCGTTCGTTTTCCATCGAAATAAAAAATGCCCCTCCGTGGCTTTGCTTCGCTCAATTCTACAATTAGCGCGAACAGTTTGACGTCTTCCGGTAGCGCTGCGATCGTCGGAGCAAACGCTCGAGTCTATTTCGTCGCTCTTTTTTTAAATCGTTCGTTCGGTTCTTCCCGCAAGCCGCAACCCAGCGTCAGGCAGCGCGACCACGAGGAGCGGTGCTTTCGCTACCCGTCGGTTGTGCTTTTAATGCCGATCCTCGTGCTAAAGCGCACGCAACGAATTGCGAATGACAAAGCCCTTTGTGCGTCGCTAATGAATGAGGCGACGTGGAAAAGAAAGAACAACTTTTTTTTTCCCTGCGTAGGGCTAATCAACCGAGTGTCGGATTAATACCTTTTAAATGAAAGAAGAAGATTGCGTCCTCTTCGTTAGAGCTAAAATGTTTCGGATTTTTATTTAATATTACCTTCAACGCAAATATACACGCACATTTGGTGGAGTCGGTGCGTATCGCTTCCACTGAAAAATGAACGTTACAATGATTTATTTAACTAATGTTTACTTAAGTAGATGTCGTTTTACGTTAAAACTCGATAGATTTAATCGGGTTATAAATGTAATATTTTATTTGTAAAGCAATCAAAGGAATAGCTGTAGCGTAATTTTATACTGATTTGAAGCTTCGAGCGAGTTTGATCGAATGACGTCTTCTTTGAAGCGAAGAGCGAAATCGATAGTTGCATGAATGTCTACAATGTCTCATACGAGCGACAGACCGAAAGTGTGACGTGTGACCATTGTCGACAATCCTCCAAATCATCGACTAACGATTTTATGTGCACGTATAAAAGGCAAAATAAGCAAATTAGTGTAACAATGCGCCAGTCGCTAAAGTAACAAAGTGCGCATGAGTGTGAAAATTCAATGGAACATGAATGCCATTTAAGAAAAATGAAAACTAGTCGTTAAGAGATGTAAAGCAACCTTCGCAATCACTTACTCGTGTTTTACTCGATTACAATGTGTGAGATAAAGTATCACTCAGAACGAAAACAAAACAAGTATATACATGATATAAGTATAAAATTTAATGGGGCCGTCCTTACTGGCTTTCCAAATTGTAAATAGACCGTGTTGTTGACTTTGGATTAAACGAGTATTTTCGTGTATTTACATACGAAAATGTTAATGTGTAAATACTAAAGTAATAATTTATCATGAATATAACAATTAAATTATAATTATTTTACAGGATGGATAAACAAAAAAAAAACGATTTATGAATTGCACAGTAAACAGGCGTTCTCTTGTTGAGTTTTCATTGCTACTTTTATATGTTTACTAATGGGACGTAGAAAAAAATGAAGAAAAAAAAAAGAAATAAACAAAAAGAAGCTCGCAATACGATTCCGTAATATTCCTAACGAAATTCGACGAGTCTGTCGACTAAAAATCCAAAGATGAAAAAGAAATGTTAAAAGACTGATTCTGAGATAATAATGACTATTGAAAATTTCGTCAATTTATTGTATTATAATTCGAATTAAACGAAATTAAAAAGAAAAAACTAGGCGAGCGAATCGTATTACAAGTACTTTGCGTAGTACGTAAATGAAGCAAATGTAAAGTTAATAATTAGACTACTCGTTTCAGTGTAACCCTGAGTGAAGCCGAATTAAGTGTTGAGACAAAAAAAAAATAATAATATCGAGCAAAAGTTGTTTTATCGACTAATAACTGTTCTATCTCTCTTTCTCTCTCTATCTCTTTCCGCACATTCGATGTAACATGGTAATATCCCTTTCCCCCTCCCCTCCGTCACGTAAATTAAAGAGCAAACAGAGCAAGTTTCAATTTAACGTAATTATCGATATGAAGAAGTGTCAATCTTTTGTCTAATAGATGGTACTTAAGCGTCCGCTGCATCCACATTTTTGTGTAAGAGCCCGGGGTGACTTTTCAAACAAGCATTCTTTCGGATGCACTTGATGTTTTAGTGTCGACTTTTATATATACGCATACGTACTTATTCTGATAGCAAACGAGTATTTTCAACGATATTGTTTATGCATAATTGATCAAGTCTTCGAGTTCTTCGAGAACAAACAGTGCAAATGTCAGTCTATGCGCTTTATTTTTCTAGTCATCGAACTCGTTCAGCAATAATTCAGTATGTATTTTTGAAACAAGTGTCGGACCTCGTCTCTGTATTTGAAAGTCAAACAGTACAAGAATAATCGCTCGAGCGTTCAAGCGATTTCAAGGTGCACACTGGTGCTTCCGACGAAATGTTCGAAATTCCTGACGAGCGTGTAGATGATTATACCGATGGCGAATGGCCCGAGAAATTGTCAAAAGAAAACAAACAAGAATAAAAGTGAAATTCGCGAGCACGGTAGTCGAGCAAACACGATGATAGCGGCGTCGGAGTCGTGTAGTCGAGCCATAAGCAAGCACGGATATAAAAGGGGTAAGACAGAACTTCTCGCGCAGCGCAATCAGTGATGTATACCTCGAAGAAGCTTGTGACCCAGCAGCTCCGTGGCTTGTCTTTCCTTCCCGCATTGTATACCCGCGCGCGAGCAACCGAATTATCTCTACCGAAAAGTCCTCTCCCGCGCCTGTATATCTGTGTCGCTGAACTTGTCGTGTTCCACTCCGACGTGATCATTCTTACGATCATCCTTCGTATACCGATGTATTTTTGTGAACAGTACTGATAAATAAAATTGCTAAATAGCCCGACCTAAGCAACAAGAGAATATCATACAACAAAACAAGTGTCACGAAATACCGATGGTAAACAAACAGGAACAAAAAATTTTAAATTAAAAAAAAAAACATAAAATGTGGAATCGCTGATGTTGTACAGTTATTGCGGTAAATGTACTACGATGTACCTATATTGTATATAGATATATTTAATTAAAGTGATGATGAATTTGTGTAAAATAATTTTTTGCCTTACCTGACCTTATTATCTTACAATCTCGTCTCTATGAAACTTTATATTTTTGCACGTCGTGTAGACGAGGGTCATATTAATTAATTAGTCTAAAGATATGATATTATTTGGAAAAATATATAATTACTTGGCTTTTGCAACATAAACAGAGAATATTATGAATGACATAAAGCAGCTGAAAAAGTTTCGCATAAAAGTGTAGAGCTGGCATTTGGAAATTTTTTAAAATATTATTACTTTGAGCAAAGTTAAATGAGCTTACACTTATATACATTACGAATTCCAAACTCGCGCATGTACCTTCATTAGTAAGTGTATTTCAGGTTTACCATTAAGATTCCCTTCCGCTTTCACCAAAGTATTTTCCATCATTAGTAAGTAATTCATGAATTCAACGAAAATAATTTCACACTGCGTTTACCTTTAAAAACTCCCTGGCTTTCCTACCTATCAGCATTCATGTCGCAATTTACATTCGTAGATTTCGAAATATCCGAGCTCAAGTGTTAAATTGAAGCTTGAATTTCGTTGGAATTGAAGCTCGTGGTTATGTTTATTTTTACATATATCAAAAAAATAATTTAGTCAGAGTATTTAAAATTTGTAAAATACTTCCACAATATCGGGGTTAATTTAGATTGTCAGAAATTAATACATAAAAAACACTTAAATTTTCAGGATATTGCTTAATTTTGTTGAAATTCGTACTTCATTTAAATAACATCGAATGTAATTCAAAAATATAATACAAAAATTTAAAAAAATAATTAAATTGCACTTGGCAACTGTCCTAAACTTGAATCCATTAATTTTTCCGCTTCACGAAGTATTCCAAAACTCGCGCCTAATCACGTGGTTGCATGTGATCGAAGTCTCCCGGGTTGCGCTTGCGCTGAGTTCACAGTCTCCATGAGTTCAAAGATGCGAACAAAGAAAGAAAGAAGAAATGCCACCGGCCACGTGATGAGACTCCAAATGGCGGTAGAATCAGTTCCGCTTCCGCATCATTTCCAGAGAAAGTTTTGGCTATTACATATATTTATATACTGTATCTATATTGCTAATAAACACACTGCCATAAGAATCTCCGAAGAACATTATTGCTGTTGTTCTGTAGTAACTTGACAGAGTCGGCGTTGATAACAATGGCCTTGAGAGCAATCAAATGGTCGGATGGTAAGCTGGAGATCCTGGACCAACTTTTGCTGCCTAAAGAGACTGTGTTTATCGAGATTAAGAGCGTTAAAGATGGTTGGAACGCTATCAACAAGATGCAGGTGTGCTTTTGTTTAAGTTTGATTATTAGCCAATCGAATAGCCGGCAAATAATCAAATAAATCTTACTTGTTATGAAGTATCGATTATTATTTACATATATTATATAGAGCTTTAAATATATTGTTAAGAGAATGTTGTAAGTAAACATAACCTATAAATATTCTAAATTTCATTATATTAAAGTAATCTCAGTTTTTACAGTTTAAGTTTTGCATTATTTTTTAGATTATATGCATGCGGGATGACATCAATAATTGATTAAAAATGAATATCAAACAAGCATCAATGATTAAAAAATTACACGATGTAAAGACTAAAAAAGGCGTATCGTAGATTTCGTTATTTTTGCTTAATATTGAGTTTTTGATAAAATTGAAGGACATCTCAGTAGCTTAAGATTTAAAGAATGCGGGATGACTATGATGTTTTACGTAAACTGCAAATTATTAACGTATAATGGTTTCTCCGTAATCATAAATTTGCTGATATCTCCTTAACTACTTTCGATAGGAATTATCGTGATAACGAAAAGTTAATTTTAACTTTGAGTTTCATATTGGTATAGTTTATATGACGTGATATAAAAAAAAACGACTTAAATAAAATTATTCTTATTAATGTTTCATTTATTTGTGTGAATTCTGTCTTGAATAGTTTGCTAAAAATTATAAAGATACCAATTTTATTATTAAGTACTATCAAACAGAAAAATGTATTTATTCTTTAGATAAATTCTTGAAATAAATCAGTTAATTGCATTGTTGCTAAAAGAATCAAATTTCAAGTTTGAATCAAAATTTGGAAATAAATTTAAAAACTACTCTTATGAATGCTAGAAAATTCCTAATATATATTTTTATTATAAACAGGTTCGAGGAGCTCCAGCAATTGCTGTTGCTGGATGCTTGAGCTTGGCTGTGGACATCATACGCCATCACTACAATAACACAAAAGTACTCCTGCAAGATATCAAAGATAAGTTAGATTACCTTATTACTGCAAGGCCTACAGCTGTAAATATCAAGCTTGCAGCAGATGAAATCATTCAGTTTGCCACAAAATTATCTAAAGAAGATATTTATCCTGATGACATGAAAGACAGGTTATTATTTTACAAGCTGCCATTTTATTCATTTAAGGCAACATTTTTACACAATTATTTCATTATTACAGAGTTATTACAGAAATAATCTCAATGTTAGAAAAAGATATTGAAGACAATATATCAATAGGAATTCATGGTTCAACAGAAATTTTGCAAAGGACTGTAGATGAGAAAGTAATAAGTGTGATTACTCACTGTAATACTGGTAGCTTGGCTACCGTTGGATACGGTACAGCTTTGGGAGTTATTCGGGCTCTTCATAAGACTAAAAAAATAGGTAAATACATGCACAATAAATTGATTGACTTTTAACTTTATAATGCATTATTAAATTTGTTCTGTCAGAACAAATTTACTGTACTGAAACCAGGCCTTACAATCAAGGAGCAAGATTGACTACTTATGAATTAGTGCATGATAAAATACCATGTACACTGATATGTGATAGTATGGTTGCCTCGCTTATGAAATCCAAAAATATAGCTGCTGTGATTGTTGGAGCTGACAGAGTTGCTGCTAATGGTGATACAGCCAATAAAATTGGAACATACCAAGTAATTATCTTTTTTTAAATCGTTCGTTCGGTTCTTCCCTCGCAAGCGGAAAGAATTCTAAATTTAATCATGTTTAAAGATGCTCATAATTGTATATTTCGTATCATTTTTATGCATTGATATATAATTGTTTAATCTATGTTTCGATTTCAATTACTATTCGATTTTAATTGCTAAATTTTGAACTTAAATTACTGATTTTTTTATGGTAAGATTGTATTTGATTTAATTAATCAACTTTAATTTCAATACCGAGTTTTCTACTTATGAAGATATGTTACTTTATTACTTTATCAGTTGATATTAATGATATTGTAGCGAAACATAGATTTAGGATTCGATTTAAAAATATTAAATTTCGTTGTTTATATTTTGCAGATTGCTGTTTTGGCACGCTATCACGAAATACCTTTCTATGTAGCAGCTCCATTGACTACAATTGATTTCTCAATACCAAATGGAGATAGTATCAAAATTGAAGAGAGACCGCACGACGAACTTACTTGCATCAATGGTGTTCGAATTGCTGCTGAAGGAATAAATGTTTGGAATCCAGCGTTTGACATCACACCGGCGAAAATAATCACAGGAGTAATTACTAATAAAGGTGTCTACAGACCTCATGATCTTGTTAAACTTAAACAAGTAAAAGATTGAACATTTATGATATGTTTTTATTCAGAGAAATACACGAGATATTTACAAACAATAAAAAATAATATTTATTGTGTAATCTGCTACGTTTTCAATATGTTTGCATTTGTTTGGTTTCATATAATGTAATAGAATTTACAAGACGTTAATTAGAATAATACTACAAGGAGATATAAATTACATAATCATAATCAACAAATACTTACGCAGACAATATATAGTGATCTTGTATTTTATAAATAATTTCGTTTCAATTTTAATTGGTAAAGAAAATATGTTTCAACTGTAATTGTTTTTTATCGGACAACATTAAATGTCTGTTACATAAAATGTATACGTCAACATATAAAAGAACTAACTAGCTTTTTTAGTTCATATTCAGATAGGAACTAGTTAACTTAGTTTCATTCAAGTCTCTTCAGTTTTCTATATTTTAAAGATTTTTTTATACCGTAGGTGATAGCATAATTGTATTTATTTTGAAATGATCTTTTAATATTACTGTGTTATGTCAGATAGAAATACTATTTTGAATCATACGGGAACGTTGCTTAATTTACTGCCTAAATCAAAATAAAAAAGCTTAGTTTTTTAAACTAATTTTATACATCTATGACTGTGTTTCATCTTAAATGTAGATAGATCAAAAAATCATGTTAGGCAACTGTTAAAGTGACATAGCAAGTCTGTTTTCCAAAGTACCATTATCTGTACATATAATTATCTGATTTATTTATTTATTATCTCATGGCCACCGTAAAAATAGATAGGACAATGATTCTGACCGATGTGGTATGTATTAGCGACAGATCATTATACAGTTCCTTTGCTACTTTTATGTCTTTTCATTCGAAGGAAGAACTGTAACAAGTGAAATGTATAAAAGAATTCTTATTAAGTTTTTCCAAGTCTAATTAAAATGTTGATGTTAAGTACGGCAAGTTTAGTATACGGTGCTCACGAAGCATGCAAAAACTACCTTGCTCGATAGTGACTACGTTTGACGAAAGATTTCCCAGTCAATTGTAAAGACGTCTTTGAAAAAGTCTGTGATCGTACAACGCATTTTTCAATGTACTTTAGTTACGTTTAAATCCCGTTTTTTGTGATAACTTTTTAAAAAATTAAAAATTAACCGATATATCATAAATCTACTATTCCATGATATCGAAAAACCATGAAAATTGACGATTAGAAAATTTGCAAAATAATAATTATTGTGATAATTAGTAACGAATTTCTACATATATGTAACTCTTCTTTACCTTGTATAGTAAGATTGTATTTGATTTAATTAATCAACTTTAATTTCAGTACCGACTTTTCTACTTATGAAGATATGTTACTTTATTACTTTATCAGTTGATATTAATGATATTGCAGCGAAACATAGATGTAGGATTCGATTTAAAAATATTCAATCTCTTTGTTTATATTTTGTATATATGGCACATTCCAGGCTATGACGATCAGCTTTTCAGGGGTAGGTTTCGGATTTTCTTAAAACTTGGTATATATATTGCCTATATGGTAGTGTATTTAAGTATGGATAATTAGATCATTATAATAATTATATCAAAAGTTATAAACAATTGAAAATTTTTGACGAAAAATTTTCAAAAATGTATATCTCCGCAACCATTAAAGTTATCGAAACGAATTTTTTTTATATTACGTATAAAAGGGTGTACTTTAAAGATATTAAGCGAACAATACTTTAATATCAATTTTTCCAAAAGTTATTAACATTTTTTAAAAACAATTGACCATATCTCAAAAAGTATTATTTTTATTTTAAAAATTCTTTTTTTATTGAATTCCTTGACATTTTTTCTTTAAGAATCCATTTTTAAATTCATCGAGCGATAATAGTGAACGCTGACAGGCCCTACATTAAAATCAATTGCAGCCTAAAGACATGAAAATTGTCTTGTACATCAATCGACAGTCGAATTAAAGTCATTCATTAGTGAACAACATCTAGTTGGTCATTAATGCTGGATTCGATACTTATCCGATTATTTTCTTTGCTGATTATTATTGTGTCATTTGCATATAAATTAACAGACAGCATCGTCCAGCAGTAAGTCCAAAAATGTTGCATTGTGGTACTCCATACGAAAATCTTGTTGATACGCTTACACAGTTTTTGTGCTTCATGTGCTGTTTTCTATCACATAAAGTTTTTTTTAAGAGTTCATAGGCTAAGCAATACAATTACAAATCTACAAATTTTCAATTGTTATGCTCAATTGCGAACTACTTCCGTATATTTAATATCTAGCGTTAAAAGGAGTTGGTTGATGAATTTCGTTATTAAATACGGTTTATTTATAATGTTAGTTTTAGCGAAAATATTTTTAACGCATGTTTCTTTATTTATACTAGTTGAGTCTAGTCTGATGATTTTTTTATAGAGGGAAATATACTTATGTTCCAGAAGATTTAAGAATAAATCCTAAGCATCATTGTCCTGTGATTGTAGATAAATCATCTACAATAAATTTATTCATTTCAAGATATTTGTTCATATTCTTTATAAAAATTTTTTATCGTAGATAGGACATTTGTTTAAATCTGTGATATTCAGTTTAATTAAATTAGTTATTATAATATCATAATCTAAAAACATTAAAGAAGTCAATTTAATTATATTTTATACCATGGTATTAGACTATATATAGATTATATAAAAAGTATTAGATGCAATCAAAAATTTAGATAGAAAATGATTGACTATTATTAAAATTGCTGTTAGAAAGAATTGTTATTGTTAGAGAAAGGCTGGAACGAGGTAATCGCAATTTCGGTTCGTTAAAAAAAATCGTAGCCTGACGTCGATGTGCAATTTGTAATGAATAAGTGAAAAAAAGTTTATCCTTTTTTGGCTCTAAAATTACTTATAAAATGAGACGTCACACATCAGTATAAAAAAATAGTTTATAACTTATTGTAAAAAGACCATGAAAATCAGGCATTTTTTAATTAATTAATCATTTTTCAAATTACAATAAAATCTCTTATTAATACATTGTCAATAATATTCTGTGATGAGAACAAGCTTCGATTCAAGATTCGTTTTAGTGATAAGCTCAACTACAAATCGATTTCTTGCCCTTAGAGGCGTCGTATGTGTGTCGGCTAGAGCTCGTTCTTTCCTTCAAAATTTATAGTTCTATGTAAACTCACTGCCTAAGTCGTTTTTTAAAATTTAAATTGCATATAAAAGTAGCCTTAAAGTGAAGGCTGTGAATCGCCTTATAATCAAATGAAATGTGGGCGATATTGTTTATTTTTGTAATTACCTCAGTCGCGAAGCTGATTTTCTTTTCACAAATTTGTAAAAAAAAAATCAACTCACTAAGTGCAATAGAAGCGAACTATTTTTTTTATAAAATCACCACGACTTTAACTATAAATATGAAGCGACGTAACTTTCATGACTGTTTTAAAATTTATTATTAACAATGTTACATTCAATATCATTGAACTTCCATGGGATTGGCATAAAAAACAATAGCAAATCACAGCTGGAGACCAGAGCGCTCGGCCGATTAGTTAGAGGATAGAGCAATAGGCGTCTGCGAACGATCATGGAACGGTGCCCAAAATTTGTCTATTTTCTGCAACTAGTACATAGTATTTTTTTTTAATTTTGAGTAGCTCTGCGAAATATTAAGTTAACGGTTATAAAATATAATTTTCACCTTCTACTGTAAGTGTAATGTTTCTTTTTATCAAGGAGTATTTTATAATTTTTTAAACATATTTATGGTAGTTTTTCTAGAGTTCGATATACAACGTTACGATGTAAAATTAATATTATTCAAAAAAATGTTTGTCAATTGCACATTGACGCCAGGGCACGCGATTTTCTTGGAAAAACTGGAATTCCGATCAGTACCACCTTGCAGACTTTCTCCAAAAATGAAAATCCCCTTTGCAATTTATCCCGGTTACTCTGCTCTTGTTGAACCGAGGCAAAGCGAGCGCCTAAGGTTTGGTGATTCGGCAAACGCAATGATCGAGGGATGCGCCACGTTTGTCTCGGCTGCGGTAATTTATGCCTGGCCCCACCTCCCGCGTGCGTGAACAGCGCCTAATCTGCTCGCAGAGATTGGACAAATTCTGCGGCTTGTAACGACAATTGTTACGCCCCGCCCTCTTCGACGCAATGCTCCCGCCCATCCTGCTGCATACAAAAAACAATGCATATTTTGGACTCCCGGAACCGCCGTATTTATGCCAATCCTACGATTTCTGCATATTTTTTCACTTCTTCATTATCCTCTGCCTAACCTTATTATTCTAATATGTGACAATAATGAGAAAAAGCGACAGCAAGCAATAATAACTTTGCAGTTTTTACGAATCGAATGCCTCACGTTCGTCGGTGCAGTACATTCAGATGTTTGAATGTAGTTCCAATAGTTTTTTTACCGCGTTTTATTAATTTTTAGGCAAAGATCAAAACCTCCAAGGATTCAGCGCCAAAACCATCCCACTGGACATGAGCGCGAATAGCTCAATCACTTTTCAGTCTCTTGAACTGTCTCAAGCTTGTAAGAGGCAGAGGGGAAATTTTATTTGCCATAGAGAGGCGAGACATTCTCCACCCTCTTCTTACAGAAATGTGCATCTTCTTAGTCATTATACAATATTTACGCTTAGGAGTCATAAGTTATGAAAGAAGCGTTGTGATGCCCACACAGACGTGGCACTGCATATCATTTTAAAATCACTTTCAGTCACATCCATCAAGAAAACGACTGTTATTAAAAAATGGATATTTTCTGCTACCGGTCATGGGAAAAGTGCTGTTGATGGCGCAGTTGGCTTGCATTATGCTACAATGCATAGCTTATGTAGTTCAGAAATTGATGCTATTCAAACCCCTTTAAGTTTGTTAATGAAGTTGAGAAATATACAACGTCCATTGAATTGATTTTTATCAAAAAAGAAGTTCGAAATTTTAGCAGTATTAAACGGCAAACGGTATTACATTGTGATGATGCGTCATCACAAGAAAAATATATATTACCTGCGTTAGCCCGCTTCGGCTAGAAAATGCGACCGAACAGCTACTACCGCATGCACCCGCCCACGCACGTCCGGATCTCGCGATGTATGGCCCCCAGAAGTCTCCCTGACCGATACGCACGACCCTCACGCCCGCGTACAACCCCTCGCGCACTCACGACCCGATCCGACACTCCCTCGGAAAGCTGGAAGCCCTTAAAGTTTCCAGCCGTGATCAGCTGATCGCAAGCCCCCGTTAACTGAGGCAGGCTTAGCTAGACTAAAGTAGGGGCAACAGAGCGCGTGAGAGTAAGCGAGACCGCCGATACGAGACCGATCGGACGCGAGTGAGAGGAATCGGCAAGACCAACGAGCAACGGATAGACAAGGATAGACAAGCGACGCTAACTGACCAACCAATCGTTATCGGCTTAGGGGTAGCTAGACTAATAGGATGAAACCGACGCTATCTCTGTAGCCAGTAGGCAAATTAGGTGCCAACGCACGACTAATAAACAAATTACGCGGGCTAGGAATACCGGTATAGACGGCGCTGACACCCGGCTTCGCAACAAGCTAACTAATCAGCTAATGACTAAGGGGAGGTAAGTGAAGAGAAGCGGCGCGTCGCCGAAAAACGGCGCGCCAGTACCCGTCTAGCCGTGGTGCTAATTAAAAGCCAAACGAGCGATTTCTCCACGCGAGTGCCATAAAGTGAGCAGCGGAAGCAGAGCAGCAGAAGCGGAGCAGTAGGAGCAGCAACAGCAGCGCAGCAAGAGGCCCACCGGCCACGAACAACAGCCTCAACAGCTCGCAATCGCGTTCCAAGGAAGCGCCCGAGTGAGTACGCTTTTCTCTTAAATAGATCGCGTGATTGCCCGTCCGCGTTCTCGGGAGTGCCGCGTGACCTCCGCGCGATTATTCAAACGCTAGATTCTCGGGAGTGCCGTACGACCTTCGCGCGTCAAACCGATCCTTATACGAATCTTCGTCATCGACCTTCCGAGCAATTTCCTTGACGCGCTGTTACGTTGTCCGCTGCCCGAAAGACGAGTTTTTGCGTGCGCGCGTCTATGTGCCGCAAAATCTCCACTTAACCTTAACGAGTCGTTGATTTGAGGCGAGCTTTTCCGTTTGAGTCGCGTGATTGTCGAACGTCCGCGTCCTCGGGAGTGTCGCATGATCTTCGCGCGTCCGATACGATTTTCTCGAGCGCGCATCTTTGCCGTCGGTCTCTCGGACGCCCTTTTTGTTCCGTTACGTTGAGCATCGTTTGAACGACCAATTCTTCACGCGCGCGCACACACTTGTGAATTCTTCGCGCGTACGTAGGTTGACCGTCGATTTTCTCATACGCAAGTTTCCCGACTAAGTTGTTAGACTTAACGAATTTCTGGCTTTCGCGCGGACACGAACTCCCCGTACGCGCATCAGTTTCATTGATTCCCTTTGTGCGATATTCTGTTAGACAAAATTGTCGAGTGCCGCATGACCTTCGCGCGAGCGACAAGTCTTACGCGCGTTGACAAATTCCTTTGCCAAAACCGAGCGTATACTGTACGAGTCGCGCCTAACCTTCGTTCGACCGACGAGTTTTGTGTGCGCATTACTAGCTTGTTTTCCTTGTAGGATTATCGTTCCGAAATGTTAACATTGCTGATAGAGTAGCCCGACCTTCGCGCGACCGACCGATTCCGCGTGTGTGTGTTTATTCGGGCAAATTTCTGAGCCAGTACGTGATGTAAGTGCCTTGCATACGGCATAACTACGCACTCGTGATCCATCGAGACCGTTCGTATCAACGATCGCCCGCCCAGGTCGACGTCGCGCTGAGGTACGCCACTCGTGTCCTTGTTAACCTAGATCAGGCTGACCATCGCGAGGGGTTGACTACTGGGCTGACCGGGGGAATAACTGATTTAATAAAGACGAGTCCCTATTAACCACGGTCTACTTATTGACTATACCCTTTTGATCACCTCATCCCCCGTAGTCACCGCGATCGGTTCGAGATTACGAACGCGTATGCAAACGAATGATTTAATCGCCATTCCATTAGATAGCCGTTGTCGCGGGAACCACGATACCAGTCGACGAAGGACCGGAGGAAACCTCTTTCCAGACTACTGATCCGTTAATAGAGGCGCCCCTGTGACGCCTCCCTCGATATACCCGCTTCTGAGCTAAGAGCCACCGTGCCCCGGACCACACCTGACTAGCCGAACGAGCTGCAGCCGTGGGTGGCCTGTAAAAACCACCCGTTGTCCCTTCTCTCTTTCGATTCGGTGCTCTAGGTCTCAAACGAACCCGCAAATAGGATTTCGCGCTCCCATTCTCCTCTTCCATAGGTGATAGCCGCGCGAAATCGGCATACGACGACGACCTCAGCGAGGAAGGAGGCAACGGGGAAATCACCCGACACTCATCAGCGACCAGGACCGCCGAACCAGCTAACGTTGCAGCGCTACCTGCTCTCCTAACGCGAGAGCACGGTGGCTGGCGCCCAACTCAATTAAAAATAAAGCTGCACACGTTATTCGGCTAACTGCGCCGCTGGCGGCAGCGCGAGACCGGAAAAAGACTTTGTCATTTATTTTTCCCCTCCCTCTCCCCCGTCGCAACATGTGGAAGCGTGTGATTTTCGAAGGGAAAACTACATGCTTCACAGCTAGAACTGCTGCGTATCCTTGGATCTTCTTATAAAAAGGAGTTTATTTAAAAAAAAAAGGGTTGGGTCTGACAGTGAAGGCAATGTATTTGTAATTTGATTGGCTAAATTATGGTCACATGGTATAAATAGTTCTTAATAAATGATAATGAAATAACCTCAAAGTAAAGATCCAAGCAGAGCGGAGTTCCAGAGCAGAGTTCAGATTCGCCTCGTTAATCTGAACGATAGTGAAATGATTCTTAAAAATGAAACAAAAAACGAGGAAAAATCTAAAACAATAACAACGTCTTCAAAGAAAAATTAAAGATAAAATATAGCTCAAAAAATCAAGAAAAATAATGGCAAAAGTAACAAAAAAAAGAATGAAAACCATTCAATAGTGTCTTTTTTATAATAATTATACGAAACAAAAACTTTATTCGTCTCTTTTTTACTGTAGATATGTTAGTATAAATGCATGTTTTATTACGTTCACACTTGAATTAAAAAAAAATTATTATTTTCAAATTGACAAAAGAACACGAATCAATGATTTTATAAATCCATTAGCAAAGTTTACAAAAAAATATGGCATATTGAAAAAAATTAATTTTTTTCAGGGATATATATAATAAGATTCACTCTGTTTCCGAGATACCTTTTACTGAAATAGTTGATACGGTAAAGTTTTTGTTTGATAATACTTTTTTCCAGTTTGATGGAATAATTTACAAACACATTTTTGGTACACCGATGGGTTCTCCAATGTCGCCGTTGTTTGCTGATTTAGTTATGAATGATTTGGAGACAGATTGTTTAAATGTTTTGCGAGATAAATATAATTGTTCATCACTTTTTTATTTTAGATATGTAGATGACACTATTTTATGTATAAAAAGGGATAATTTACAATTGGTTTTGGATATTTTTAATAATTATAATAGTCATTTAAATTTCACACATGAAATCCAATTTAATAATAGTATAACTTTTTTAGACATTTCGTTAATAATTAAGAACAGTAAAATTGTTACTAATTGGTATCAAAAACCGACTTGTTCAGGCAGAATTTTGAATTTTTATTCTAAACATACAACTCAGCAAAAAGGAAACATTGTATATAATCTGATTGATAGATCTTTATTGCTATCTGATGCAACCTTTCATGAAGATAATATAAAAATTGTTAAGAGCATTTTAAAAAATAATAATTACCCGGAAAAATTTGTTAAAACATGTATATTAGATCGCATTCGTAAACGTAGATTTGGCAATAGTATTACTACTGAGGATGATAGAAAAAATACGAATATTAAATCGATGGTTTTAACGTTGCCTTTTCATAAAAAATTTTTTAACTTATGTAACCATAGTTTAAGAAAATTTAATATTCATTGTATACCATTAATTAATCATAAGCTGGACAATATAATAAAACTGGGTAAAGATGTTACAGATAAGTGGAATGAGACAAATATAGTATACAAATTTTGTTGTGATAGTTGCCCGTCTGTATATATTGGTCAAACTAAGAGAAGTTTAAAAAAACGCATAGATGAGCATAGTAAGACACCTTTAGATAATTCTCTTCCTGTTCCTATGCATTTGAAAAATTATCCTACACATTCGTTTGACTGGGACAACACAATAATTTTAGATAGAGAGTCTAATTATTGTAAGAGATTAATTTCGGAAATGATATTATTAATTTGTCTTATAACACTATAAATAGACAAGAAGACACTAGTTTATTGAGTAAACAATATAAAGGTTTATTTGATGTTTTAGCTGACTGATCTCACATTTATTTATAATATATGTTTTTAAAAAATTTTGTTTTGATGTACAATGATGCTTAATGTACCGGTTTTCTTGGCATAGGAGAGGGGATACATTTGATTGTGTGTCTACCTGTGATTTGTTTTGGTATAAAAGGTAACAGACACTGTTTGATTTGCATTATTTCATAGTCTTTGTCCGATTTGAATTTTGAGTATTTGAACGAATGTTAAGTTATAGGATGAGTTTAACAGTGTATTTTTGGAGTGCATATATTATACAACTATGGATTTTAGGTGGAAACAAAATACGGTTCTCCATTATATTCCATTTATTAAAACAAAAAATACTCCGAAGTCATTTTTTTACAGGAACTTATAGAGGTCTTTATGAATTAAGACGGAATCACCCCACATGTATATATGTGAATTTATATAGTGCATTTCAATTTTCACTGTAAAAACAATAGGTGATGAATTTTACGAAGCAAGCAACAACTATAATAATAACAATAATATTTTCCGTAACTATTACGAGATGCTTTTCCCATTCTTTTCTCAACCGAATACTTGGGAAAAACGGTGAAAGACGCGGTGATTACAGTGACCGCGTACTTCAACGACTCGCAACATCAAGCCACCAAAGACGCTGGAGTGATTGCTGGTTTGAATGTGCTCAGGATCTTTGAATCGTCGAACTTTCGATCAATAAGCCTCTTGGCATCGAAAACTGTGTTGGAGGGATTCATCGCCACTTGATTCTTAACGGCATCTCCAATGAGTTGCTCATTGTCCGTGAAAGCAACATAGGATGGTGACGTTCTGGGCCTTGATCGTTGGCGATGATCTTGACCTTGCCTTGTTGCCATACTCCAACGCAAGAGTAGGTTATAACTCCAAATCAATTCCAATAGAGCTAGTGCCATTGTGCATTGTCGTGTTGTATCGCTTTGCATGTTTGCTTAGAAGTGACTCGTATTGAGAAAATTTTTCAGATACTTGCGATTGTTGAGAATATATATTAAAAATTTTGTTAAAAAAGATATTTTCATCACTTATATGATAAATGTCTAAAATCTTACACGCATGTAAAAAATACTAGCCACGTTTCTCTTATCGCTTTTCGAATTATGGCTTTACAAAAAATTACATCATTTTTTTGAACTTAATAACTTTTGTCATAATAAATACTTTGATAAAAAATTTAGGGAAATGTTTACTTCTACGTATACGACCTAGATATAAGCGAGAACTAATTCATTCAGAATTTGGCTTTAATATTGTAACAAGGAATAAAAGTTAGACGGTAACCTTTGCGAATCGATATTCGTTCAACTTTTAACAGCATAAATCTGCAATGTCGTGATTTTTATGTGACTAAATTTATATTAAAACATCAATTTGATATAACTTAAATAGTTCTAGCTGTAGTCATCACAACAGTAAGCGTGAAAATTATAATAAATATCTTAGATTCTAATATTAAATATAAATTGTAAATCTCTAGCTTTACTCATAAAGACAACCAAATTGCTTCCACACACCTAATGTTCAACTGAATAATTCAACTTCATCTGGCTTGTAAATATAGAGAGATACGAGAATCCAGCTTTCATCATCTTTAAATGATCATTTAAGGTAATATTTATTCAACGTTGCACAATAACTGAATGAAAATCATAAACAATGCAAACCTTGCTGTAAGTTTCCATTGATATGATGAAGAAACCTCCACCAGTTATTACTTCTGGTCTGGAACTTCGTAACATCATTATGAATAACAATTTTCTCGTCTTCGGACAAGCGAGATACCATTTACAACTGCAACTAAAGTAACGTAGTTGCATGTACTTTTCATATGACATCGGGTATGGACTTCCCATTGCTAACTTACCAAGCGTCGAACACAGACGAACTGGAGTTGATAATCATCTGGCCATGTGCAAATATTACATAAAAATGTATGAATAACGCAGCAAAAATAGTAGCATATCTGATCAAAACGAATGGGTTTGATAAATTTAGTATAACCTAAAACAAAATTATCGATATAATGGTACAACTATGCAGGATATATAATATATTTCAAAATTTTCAACCAAGTATATTCCACCATTGAAGATAAAGGCATTCGCCAAAAGTATCGTGAACCAACAAATCTTATAAGTTTTTTCCATCAGTGGCACCATTCTATAAAACATCATTGATCGAATAATTCAAAATTTCCACAGACATGTCACTATGCAATTATAATTACTCGAGTACTTCGTTGTGTAATTTTATAGCTTTCGCTACGTGTTCGTAGGCTTTAATATTCGAAATTGTATAATCCAGCAAGTTCGCCTCGTACTCCTCTAAAACCGTAGAGGCTTCTTGCAAACGTATCCTCAAAGTTATATAATATAAAAATTATCAAATAAAATCAATCAGCTCATGGTAGTAACAAACTATTGCATGTCCGCTGAATTATTAATTAAACAGTTCTTGTAGATTGCCCAGAGAGCATAGACTTACCTAACAATTTCGAAAATGCCGCATATATGTCTCATACTAATTATGAAACCAAATTCATAAATAGAAACTCCTATTATGTAATAAATAAACGTAAAAATTATGTGAAGTATTATAAGTGCATAATACTTGTCCTCGTCAATGAAACTATAATCAGTATAATGAGGATACTCTTTTTCAAATTCATCGTTCATCATAAAATATTTGAAAAGTATTTTTCCTATAGGTAAGATAGAGTAACTTAACACGGTAGCTGCATATATACCTAGAAAAATATAGTATCACGAATTTAATCAATAATATAAAAATATCCGAACAAGTTGAGTATGATACTTGCTTACAAGCGAACTTAATGCAGAAATTCTGTGCGTGCTCAGCAGACTTGCCTAATATGTAGGCCTCCTTTGGGTCGTTAATTTCCCTGAAGTGATCGTTCACTTTGTCGTATATCCTTTGTCTCTACAATACATAAGATATCCATGGATGAATTGCATAATATATAAATAACTTTGATTAGCGTATTTACAGTTTCATTGTAAAGGCAGCTTGTGATGATCATTACGAAGCAAGCAGCAACTATCATTATACCACTAATATTTTCCGTGACTATTTCGAGATCCATTCCCCATTCTTTTCTCAACCGAATTATCTAAATAATACATTCTATCCATTAAAGCTTGTTGTTTTTATGAAAGTAATATTATAAAATGATCGTTAACAAATGAGAAATGCACATTACTACAGGTATTATTCCCGCCAATCCATGTAAAGCAAAGTGGACACGGAGAAGACATTTTTGGAATCGACTCTGATAGAACCATACACCCCAAAAACTTTCCAAAATTTCGACCCACTGCCAACTGCGATGTTGAAAAAAAATCGCCTCCTTTCCATACTGATTTTTATAAAATTGCATGCATCTATACAATTCCATCTTTCAGAGTTGACACGATTACAATGGTATCAGTTGAATAAAACTGAGAACAAATAAATGCGGCATTTACTGCATCGCGTTTTGCACGACGCAGTTATAACCCCATCTTATGAAATTTTGATTTTCACGGACGTCGGAAATCTTTATCACGATTTAGTTAAATATTTTAGGCTAATGTATGCAGACAGCCCGTAGACAATGATTTAGATATGATTCGGTGTATATTGTAAAATCTTTATTTCTGTGTGGTAAACAACTAAAATATGAATATGTCTACAGTTGGACAATTTAATATTAAGTAAAAGCTCGTTCTTTTAGAATCAATGTTCAATTTTCCGTGATATATACGAATACACACACACGCGCGCGCGCACGCGCACACCCACACAGAGACAACACTATGTTCATTTGATTTAATATGAGATATACCGGATGGAACTATGTATTGATAAATGAACATATTGTAATATATTCGATATAATCTTTCTCAAATGTTTGATTGCTAAGTACTTTTGTTTATTAGACTTAGTTTATTATTTATTGTACTTTTACAGTCAGTCGATACGACGAACTGATTCTATATAAACTATTTCTGATTTAATAAATATAGTCTAGTTTTTTTATATAACTTTGTATTTCGTTGTAATCATTTAATAGTGACTATAAGAATATACAGCCAGGTTGATATTTATAATTTAAAAGTATTATCAACGTAGTTTCAAATTTACATAGTCTGAAATTTTTGTACTGCAAAATCATGAAAAACGCAATAAAAATTTAATATAAGTTATCAAAACATTATACTTTTTTATAATCATATTTTTCGCGATATGTATTACATACTTTGACGTTCACGGTTGAAATTGAGGGGCCGGATGCAATAAGGGGGTTAGCGCGTGACCTTTCTAAAAAGTGACTCACGGAGAGTTCATTTTCAAAATTCAAAAAAGTGATTAAAAAAAAATACCATCATATTCCTCATGGAAAATGCCATCTTTTTTACATTTACCATTTTGTTGTAGCATATCGTGTTTACATTACACATTACAAAGGTATCAGTTGAATAAAACTGGCAACAAATAAATGCGACACTGACTGCATTGCGTTTTGCACGATACATTTATAACTATCTTATAAAATTTTGATTCCTACGGGCGTGAGACAACTTTATCACGTATTATTTAAATATTTCAGAAGGACAATGTATACAGGCGACTTGCAAACAGTAATTAAAATATGATTAAGTGTATATTGTAAAATCTTGATTTGTGTGTGGTAAACAACTAAAATATGAATATATCTATAGCTGGACAATTTAAGGGTATCGAATTAAGTAAAACCTTGTTCTTATAGAATAAATGTTACATTTTCTGCCATACATGTACGAATACAAACACACGGACACACATGCAACGGTGGAGGCAGCGATCTGGCCACGTGGTAATTTCCGACACGCGGGGGGTTGGGGGGGGGGGGGGGGGGGGAGAACCAACAGCGTGCAAATAGGTTCGTGAGAGCAAAAGTAGGTAATACACACTTCCATAGTAGCTATGCGTCACCTTGAGTAGACAGAGAAGCAGGTAAATTTGAGGATCTTCTTGAGAGATTAAATATGAGGATCTTAAAAGATATTAACGAGCATCGCGTGGCGGTGGTTCCTTTGTTTTTTTTTTTTTTTATTAAGCATTTCAAACCATTACAAGGGTGTTGCCCCTTAAGGCTTATTTCTGCTAAACATATTGAAATAATTAGATTACATTGAATATTTAGATATATTGTTACAGAGTTTCTTCTTTTTTCTTTCCTTGTTACATTAATACCCCCTTTTTTTTTTATAGGTAGACTAATGTTACATTTTTAGGTTACATTTCTTTACAAATTCTAAGATACATTGACAGACATCAATGTGCGGTTCCGCAATGAACATTTCTATGCAGAAAGGAGGATGAAAATGTAGTTTCTTTAATTTTCTATAAAGAGTGCACCTATGTTTTTCAAATAGATCGCATTGCCACAAAATATGATTAATGTTTTCATTTTCCTTTCCTCATTGGCATTCGGGTGAGTTGACCACGTTAATTTTATTACAAGATTCTGCCATATGGTAGTGTCCTGATCTGACACAGTTGATTGAAACTATTGACTTTCTAGGTAATTTGATGTTATAAAACCAGGGCTTAATTCTTTCATTAAAGAATATTTGACAGTATTGTCTCCCTTTTGTTTGTCCTAGTTCCAGGGTCGTGGCATTTGTTTTCTCTATAGCCTTTTTTTTTATGTATTCAAACATATCAGAGAAAGGAACTTTTTGTATATTAACGTATAGTTTATCAGTTGCTTTTCGCGCTAGAGTATCAGCTCGTTCATTACCTTCAATACCTATGTGTGAAGGTAACCAGAAAAAGAAAACATTAAAGTTTTTGTTTTTGGTCTTAAATAATTCGTATTTTTGTTTTATGAGAAGTATATAAGGGTTTATGTTAAATTTATCATCTCTGGACTTTAGACTTTGAAGGACACTTAAGAAGTCAGTAAAAATAAAGATGTTATGATCATCATAGTGGAGCGCAATGTCCATTGCTAAGTTAAGGGCAATGCATTCACCTATGAAGACAGATGCATTTTTAATGACACTCTTGTATATTTCGATATTGAGTGCTGGAACTACGCAAGCCGCACCTACGTGGTTAATATTTACAGTTTTACTACCGTCAGTGTATATATTGAAGGGGTTATAGTTAGTCAAATTCATTCAATGCATTATTAGGATTGTTTTCTTTTTTAAATTGGTAACCTAGAGTTTTATTGTACGGAATCGAAATCATATTAGTTTTGTAGTCATGGCTATAAATGGGACAATTGTTGTGCTCAATGATATGAAAAGCATAGTCTGCAACATTTTCAATGCATTCGACCAAAAGTCTTTTTTTTTCCTTTTGTTATTTACTTTTGAATAAATAATGTAGCTGTGCATTATATTGTTCTTGCATGATAGGGCTTTCGTCAGGTACTTTTCTCCTAAAAGTCTGGCACGATCCTTTATATATGGCAGTTTCGATTCTGCTATTAGAATATTTGTTGGAGTACTTTTTCTAAAGCCAAGAGCTGCCCTTATTGCTGCATACTGAATTTGTTCCAGTTTTGTCATATATTTTTTTAGTGTTGGATAGTATATGAAAATGCCATATTCTAAAGTCGATCGCACAAAGCTTTTATATAGTGTAATGAGGGTTGATGGATCAGCACCCCACCACGTGCCACATAAGAACTTAACTATGTTTAGAGCCGAGTTACATTTGGTGAGAACCATATTGACATGTGGAACAAAAGAAATTTTGTAATCAAGTATAAGTCCTAAAAAGCGGACCGATTCGGTAGATTTAATGCTGACAACGTTTAGTGAAATTTTAACAAGCCCTGACATTATTTTTTTATTATTAAAGTGAATAAGAGAAGTTTTGACTGGGGACAGTTCCAGGCCTAGAGAGATCAGATTTTTGTGTATAATATTGAGCGAATCTTGTAGAATTCTGCTACATTCTTTGGTAGTATGCCCTTTAACGAACATGACTATGTCATCCGCGAATTGAAGTATTTTGACTTCAGGAAGAACACCACTGGTAATATTCATTACATAAATTATATACAGGAGAGGGCTAAGTACTCCTCCTTGAGGGACTCCCTTATTAGTGCGCATAACTTCGTGACCTTCAATGTCAGTGTGTAAAAATCTTTCGTACGCTAGAAATTTTACGAATTTAATGAGATGTGCTGAGCAATTTAATTTAGAGAGTTTTTCGAAAAGACAATCAGAAAGTACGTTATTAAATGCGTCCGAAACATCTAAAAAGGCAGCTAATACCTCTGATTTTTGAGAGAAGGCTTCATCAATTTGAGAAGTCAAATATGCTAGGTTATCGTAGGAAGATCTACCTTTGCGGAAACCTGATTGAGTATTCGGAAGGAGATTATTTTGCTTGAGCCACCATTGTAGTCTGAATTTTATGAGTTTTTCGAGAATTTTACACAGACAAGGCGTTAAAGCAATGGGTCTAACGGTTTTTCAATCAGGTTTGGTTATCATGTGAATAAAGGAGTGTTGCCAGGTTTGGGGAAATTCACTTTTTTGATACATTTCATTATATACATCTAGCAATAGTAGCCTATATTTAACCGGTAACTTTTGAATGATCTCGTTGTTTATGCCATCTATGCCCGGAGAGGCCTTTACATTGCAAGAGCTTAGTACTTTGTTAAGTTCAGCAAGGCAGAAATAATTGTCAAGAATCTCATTGCTTTTGCACGACGGCAGCAAGTCTGAATCAGTGCTGACCCACGAAGGGCATAGCTTGTTTATACAATTGATTGATTGAGCTTTAATTTTTTCTGGATCTAATAGATTTCCGTTGCTAATTTTCACCC